ATTTTCAAAATGGAAAATGGGTTGTTTAGTTTTTCTCATTTCAAAACGAAGTAGTACCCTCTAGATTCGGCCTGTCACATTCGTGGCCACTAGTAGTTTCGTAGTTTTTTCAACACGCTTGGAACTGTAGGCTGAGGCGAAGGGGCTGCAATCTGCTGCTACACCGTTAGATGCAACTAAATCCTGCACACTGCTCCTTTAATAATTGAAACTTAGCCCTTTAAGAGCCGACCTCGGCCTTTAACATCATCACGCTGTGCGCTCTGGGTGATGCACGGAGGCATAAAAGAACATAAAAATACCAAAAAAACTCAAAAATATCCATAGTTAACTTAACTGTTCATGTTTCTATGTTTAGAAATCTTTTATTATTATTATTATTATTATTATTATTATTATTATTATATCTTAATCTTATTCTTGTTACTGTTTAATCAAATTTGATGATAAAACAGATCAAATTTTTGTATCTTTTTATATTTATGACTCAGTTTCAATACTTTTTTAAATTATGATGCTTTATTGACTTTTATAACCTTTGAGAGATCTGAATCATTTCATGGACCATTTCTATTGCAAAGGGTTAAACTAATAACAACAAAAGTGACAAAGTTGTGCAAGTATTTACTGCATTTTTACCCTATTGTGCTTTTTTATGTGTGTTTTTTATAGTTTTTCTTCTTTTTCTGATTTGTATAGCCTGCAGCACTCTTATCTCGTATCATTTATCACGTTGTATCATATTTGTCTGAGTTTATACAACCTGTTGTCAAGAGGAATGTCAAGTCTTTTTACTGCAAACATTAATCCCCACTGCACACTCGCAGGTAACGTTTGTATCTTGTTACGTTTCCTGGTTCTGACTCTGGATTCCTTTTGTTAAGTCTTTAATTCTATAGTATTATTGTTCTGTTGCAACTGTTCCTCTTGCAACTTTCAGTTCACAATTGTAACATTTGAATCCTAGCAGGATCGATTACAGCATCAACACTTAAACTTAATCTGGATGAGTCAAAGCAGTCACACATATCCTGTAACGCCATGCCAAGATCCTTCTGTGTTTGCTGATAGGAGCTCAGTGTGGGGCTTCAGTTACAACCAATAAAACAGCGATAAGATAGCGTTTGCCCTCTCCTGGAGGTGGGGGGGTAGACAGGTAGTGGAGCAGTGCAGGTTTGACTCTCAGAATTTGGTTCTCCAGTAAAGTGATGCAAATAATAAGGTTACCTCACGTCACACAAGGTTAACACGGCCGATGGAGATGAAAGGCTGACACATGTTGAAACACAAATCAGGCTCTTTGTCGTCCCATTCTTTTAATCTAACTACCAAGCTGGGCTTCATGTGTCCCCGCAGCTTCAGTCGTCAATCATTTGTCAATTGTGTCACGAAATCAAAGACCGTATGAGCTCTTCAGACGTACGAGCTATGTGTTTGATCAGCCAGAGCAAACTCGTGTGTTTTGTGCTGCGTTGGCAGATACATTTGAATTTCTGATGCTCTTTGAAATGCTGCCAAAGCATATGATCTTTACGCCAGAGCACCATAATAAAGCTGTTTTACAGTCGCCTACAGAACGGGGGGAAGTTGATGAAAGTGCTCACTTTCTGTCAGTGGATTTGCATTTTCTGTTGGTTATCCGGAATCCTGCGAAGAAAAAAAAATATTCCCCTTTTTCCCGCCTCCCCCACCACCCCCAGAGACGCACTCACGTTATTGCCCACAGGGTCGGTCAGTGAACGCATCTTCACCCACATCAGACTTTTAATTTGGAGAGTGAAGTCATTAAAGTTTTGAGTAAGAGCTCAACTTCTTTGTTATAGTGCAGCAAACATTTATATTATTGTCAGGCTTTAGGGAGAGTAACAGATTACATGTAATGGAGTTATGTAATCAGGATACACAATAAAGGTTATTGTAATCCATTAAAAACACAAACATAATCAGAAAAATGGGGTTTATTAGCAGGATTATAATCTGTTTTCAGGACATTTTTGATGCTAAATATCTTCCATTTTCTTTCTTTTCTACATTATTCTGATAATAATCTCAAATCTTATTTATATTTATTTTCTCTTTATCTGCATATTTGTTGTTGAAGTAGTCCAGAAAGTAATCAAGTTACTTTAATATTGTAATACTTGGATTAACGCTTAATTCACTGACTACATTTTCTAACAGGTAATTAGTAACTGTATCAGATTACATTTTTGAAGTAACCCTGATTATTGTTCTTTCATGTCTATATGGGGCTTTTCTCAGTGTCCTTTCAAAGTAAAAGCCTTACAATGAGTTAATTAATTCAATGACCTTGCAGGGATCTTGCCGAGCCCTTGTACTCTATATAAATAGTAGTAGTATGTAATTTATACCCAGTAATGTAACGCATTGTGAGTGCTTTCATTATTTATAGCCACAGTGTTGTCCCTGTGTAGGTCTTCAATCCCACAATGCAAAGAGCGTGGTGTGGGGAGTTGGTGGGGCTCTGCAGAAGAGGTGCTGTGGATGGCAGGGGGAGCCAGGTTTCTACCAGCCCGGGAAGACCTGAGTCAAGTTGGAAAAATAAAAGCCTGAATAATGTCCGAGTTCCGGCTGTGTGACCTTCAAAATAAGAGCCACACAGATCATTTTGTGTGAAGCAAAACAACAGACAATGCATTGAATGTAGAGTGAATATAGAGAGACATTTATTTATGTGAGTTTGAGGGAACAAGTAATGCTTTCCATTTTGATTGATTGGTGCTTTTAATTAAACAATAATCACCATTTCGCTCCCAACCTTTTTCCTTAAGGGACCCCTTTTCTATCATTTTATGGATATTTCACATTATATTAAAAACTGTTAAATTAACCGATATAATTCTCTGTCTGTATTATATATTTTTTTATATTTTTTAACAACCATACCTACCTAATAGGCTTCAGTAGCTCAGTCTGTAGGGACTTGGCTCGGGAACCGGAGGGTTGTCGGCACAAGTCCAGCTCTGGTAGCTGCCAGTTCAACCTCCTGGGCTCTGCTTACGTAAGGCACCAAACCCCTAACTGCTCCTGGAGCGCGGCCACGTGGGTGTGCACAATGTCATATCCATTGGGGATTAATAAAGTATCTTCTTCTAAACCACTGGCTCCCATCCTTTTCTATAACTGAGTAAACTGATGATCACTGATATTTCACATTATATTTAAAACTGTACAATG